CATAGCCTTCGTCAAGAAGTAACAGTCTCATAATCAGAACATCGTAGTCCTCATCTATGTTACTGAAGCGCTATCGTCTATGGACTGAAGCTATGTTATGTTACACGAGATATAAAACATACTTCAAGGCCTTTCATTCATGATAAAGTGTACAGTTACATAGGTATTTGATTGCCGCTAGGGCACCTAAATACAACACGTTGAACACTTGCCCTAAGGCCAATCAAGCATTTCTCGATTGCCCATGGACCACGTATGACTCTCGTGTTTAGGCATTCCCAAAGCCTTCGTCAACGGATCCGCGATATTGTCGTCTGTACCTATCTTGCAAATCTCAACGTCCCCACGTGCAACGATTTCTCGTATGAGGTGATAACGTCTAACGATGTGTTTGGTCTTCTGGTGAGACCGAGGTTCTTTCGCTTGTGCAATTGCTCCATTGTTGTCACAAAACAACGGTATAGGGTTCTTGATGTTAGGAACCACTCCAAGCTCAGTAATAAAATTCTTGAGCCACACACCTTCCTTGGCTGCCTCGGCTGCAGCCATGTACTCCGCTTCTATAGTGGAATCAGTGGTAGTATCTTGCTTGTAACTCTTCCAGGTAACAGCTCCGCCATTCAAACAAAACACATACCCTGCCTGCAACTTGAAGTCATCTCTATCAGTTTGGAAGCTGGCATCAGTATATCCAACAATACTGAGCTCTTCTTTTCCGCCATATACCAGGAAGGCATCCTTAGTCCTACGGAAGTATTTAAGGATGTTCTTCACAGCCGTCCAATGGCTTTTGCCAGGGTTGGACTGGTATCTACTCGTGATACTCAGAGCAAAGGCGACATCAGGTCTCGTACATACCATCACATACGTGATGGATCCAATGGCCGACGCATAAGGAACATTTCTCATGCATTCTACTTCCTCCGAAGTGGAAGCACCCTCAGTCTTAGAAAGACTCGTGCCGTGGGCCATAGGTAAACTTCCTCGTTTCGACTCAGACATGCTGAATCTAGCGAGGACCTTGTCTATGTATGTACTTTGACTGAGACCTAACAGCTTCCGTGATCTATCCCTATAGAACCTTATGCCAAGTGAATAACTCGCATCTCCCAAGTCCTTCATAGAGAAACTCTTACTCAACCACGTTTTGACGGTGGTTAAAGTAGGAATATCGTTTTCTATGAGCAGTATGTCATCAACATACAGAGAAAGGTGTTGGAACACACTTTGTACGATAAACTAAAGTCGTGTTCATTTCTGACAGGTTTTGATAATTGCCAAACCGCCGTGGATATAAAGAGTTTCGTTGAATAACTCAAGGCGTGAAGAATGGCTTGGAACAAGACCTAAAAGACTCAAGGACAAGATCAAGAATTGAAGACTTAGTCGAGTCGGTCTTTTGTGATCAAAACTGACAATATATTCAAGTCTCGGTTCTCAAATAGTCAAAACAATTTTTACAATCCATAAAATATTTTTTGTGCATCAAAACAAACATTTTTGATGATTTCTTTTATTGTTAAAATCCCTGGTCCTTGCTCAGAACCAAAACCACCTCTTTCGACGTTCGGCTTTCGGCGTTCGGTT